ACACACACACACACACACACACACACACACACACAGAGCAAAGAATTCTCCGGCCCATTGACCAACACTGCCACAGCTGGGAAGCCCTACCCGAGAGCTGATACTAAATACACAGCTTTGACCAGCTGATCAAGATTCGTTCCAGCCATGCTCTGGTCATCTATCACCAGAGACAGTTTTATCTGTTGCGTTTCCTGCCAGTCGGTATTGTTCACAGATACACATGCGTTCATGTACAAGTATGAAAACAGGGGCTGGAACGAATCACTGCCAAGTCATGACAGTGGCTGCCTCTTGAAGGGGGAGTAAGGATTGTGATGGGGGCAAAGAGGATGGCCACTTTCTCTCTACAGCTTTGTCTCACAAAGAGGGTGTAGAGAAGCAAATAGGCCTCACTGGTAACAAGTTAGTTACCAGTCAATTCTGGGTGGTGGATAAGGTCATGTCAGCCGACATTATGAGACGGTCACCGAGTGCTTTACACATACGAACTCATTTCATCTTAAGAACGACTCCACTGAAGCAGGTAACTATTGGGTTTTCCCCATTTGCAGACAGGAAACTGATGCCCAGAGGGGTTCAGTAACTTGCCAAAAGTCACACAGCAAATCTGTGTAGACCTGGGATTTGAACCCAGGCAATCTGAGTCCAGAGTCCACATGCCGAAGCACTGTCCTGTACCACCTCTCTGCTTATTATATTAGTCTTTGTGCATTGCTATATTCTTTTTAGTTTCTCCAAAAAAAAAAGAAAAGTGTTTTGGGGCTATAGAAAAAGAGTAACAAACAAGAGCGGGATTTTTTGTAATTTCAGACTATAGTGGATTTCATCAGATTTATGTTTCAGATGAAAGCCCAGCACCATTTCTGTCTTTTTTTAATTTTTTTAAAACTATTTTCTAAATTTATTTGCGAGATTGAGAGTGAGCAGGGGAGGGACAGAGAGAGAGAGAGAGAGAGAGAGAATCACAAGCGCAGTCCACACTCAGCACAGAGCCTGATGTGGGGCTCGAGCCCACGAACCATGAAATCATGACCTGAGCCGAGACCAAGAGCCGGTCGCTTAACGGACTGAGCGCCCGCCCCCCCAGCCCGTAGCAGTTCGGGGATCTGGGACGGAGCAAACCGCAGCTGCCGAGCTTCCGCGGCGGCTTCCGGCGGGGCGGCGGGGGGCGCACCTTGATCATGTGCTCCTGGACGCACAGCGGGTCGCTGCTCCCGAGGATGCTGAGCAGCTCGTCGTCAGAAATGAAGAAGAACCTCGGGAAAGCGTTTCTCTTGGAGTCCAGGTAGTCGTTTAAGCTCTTCTGGCACTTCTCCAGGCCCTCGCTGATGTTCTGCAGGTCGCCCAGCCGGTTCTGGGCCTCGCAGCATCTCTTGATCACGGGGTCCTTTAAGGTCTCGCCCATGATCTGGACGAGGGCGAGAGGGGAGCCGTCGGGCCGGGCAAGCGGGATCGCCGCTCGGCGCCGGCTCGACAGACGACAGAACCAACAGACACCCAGACTGCAGCCCTCCGGGGGCCAACGCGGCAGAAACGTTGCACGTTTAAATAAGCATCCCCCGAGCACCTCCCAGCGAACTACGTGCGTTCATTTTGTCCACCTTCCCACTAGAAGGCCAGCGATCTGGGGTAGAGATTTTTAGGCTCTTTTGCTCACGGACAGGCCCCACGTGCCAGCACCAGCGCCTGCGCACAGAAGAGCCTCGGGGAACGTGGGCCGGATGGATGCAAGCGGCAAGTCTGCTCTGGGCAGTGCGTATGTTCCGGAACGTTCACTAGCACCCTTCAGAATGGCAAAGGGGGGAGGGGGAAGGGAACTATCCTAAACGTCCAGGAATAGGAACTTAGGTCAGTCACTGGCTGTAAGTGATCATTTAGATGTTCACCTATTGACAGATATGTCAAAGATGTTTAAAAAATTTTTTAAATGATCACATGGGTAAGAATGATGTTATTTTGTGGAATATTTATAATATTTATGTATATGTTTACATAGGAATAAACAAATTCTGGAAAGATACATGTTAAACTGTCAACATGGTAATCTTGGGTATGAGATTGTAGATGTTTTTTGCCTTTTTTTCTTTTACTTTTTTTTTAATAGTATCTAAATCCTTCTATAATAAATAGGTATCCATTGTGTGATTTTTTTCTTAAGTTCAAAAAAAAAGCTTATGCAAATGAATAAGAAAATGTTACAAACTCTAATGGATAAAGGAGACCCAAATGTGAACCAGCCCCTCCTAACTGGAGAGCACTGCAGACCGCTGAGCAGCAAAGCCCCGAGGCTCTGGGTTAAAACCCCCACCCCTAATTACTAGGGGCAGTGATGACGGACACAACCCTTTCCTGGAAGGACTCTGCACTGAGCAATACGCCTTCACAGGCAATTTACCTTCCAACAACCCCTTGTAAGATATTCATCCTAAAAGTGCAAAAGGCACGAGGCACAAGCCCACAAATTATTTATGAATGCAACGAATTCCCCTTTGAACAAGATGTCTCATTACTAGACGACAATCATCTAATGTCAAGCCACTCAATGGAACAGTATATAAAGGCATTCAAATCCCTTCTCAGTTGCATCATCTGAAGTACATTTCTTATAACATCAAAAGAAAATTATGAGAAAATTATATAAAATGTCGTTATCGTCGTGTTTTTAAATTCATGTACACAGGAAAAAACAAAGAAGCATATGGCATACTGCAGTGGTCATGTCGATGTGACAGAACTCTGGAAGATACATTTTTTTGTACCTTTCCGAATTTTCCAGGCTTTTTAAGTGTTACTTTTATAATGAAAAATAAATATAAAAAAATTCCAGTGCCATATGCCAGTGGCTTGATACCCAAGAGAAATTTTTACTGAACGGATTAAGGTCATATATAATGATTTAAGAAATCCAGAAGCTACTTAATAGACAAAACACTACATGCAGAAACATAACTAAAAGTATCTCTCATCAGTGTCCTTTCATGACTAAAATAGAAGCCAGTCACTTGCCCTTTTAAATACTCTGTCGATGTTGTCAAACTTCTTCGCCTCATCTGGAAGTTGCGACCTGATGTCTCCACCGATAAAAATGCTTTCAAGATACATCCATTTCCTCTGAACCAGCATCCAAATCTGGAAATGCACAACGTTAACGTCAGCATGGGTACCTCAAGGTACCTATGGCAAAATCCCACCCTAACGTGGGACAGATCCACATCAACTCAGGTCAAAAGTGTTCCCAGGCAAGGTGGCAGAGCGAGTTCATACCCTCCTTTCCAAATACACAAGAATGATGGGGAAAGTGGAGCTATGTATTTTAAGGTACACGGCCACACTCAAAAGCAAAAGAAAACTCTTCAGCAGCCCAAGACAGGGAGGAAGCTTCTACTTGTGAGCAGGGGTTGGAGAGCCTCGTTAAGGAAAGGAATAAAGGGCAGATCATAAAGAAGCCTGAGCAAAAACTGAGCCAAACGCTGTGTGACCCACAACTGCACCCACAAGGCATAGACCCAACAGAACCGAAAACGGGGACTCAAAAAATAGTTGTACGTGAATGCTCACGGCAGAACTCTGCCCATCAGCCAAGAGATGGAAATAACCCAATGGCTGCCAACGGAAGAACGAACACCCAAAATATGGTCTCTCCACACAGTGGACTTATGAGTCAGCCATAAAAAGAATGAGGCACTGATACCCGCTACAACGTGCATGAACCTTGAAAACAGGACGCTGTGGAGCCCTGGGTGGCTCAGTCCATTAAGCGTCTGAATCTTGGTTTGGGCTCAGATCATGAACTTGCAGTTTGTGAGTTCAAGCCCTGTACTGGGCTCCATCTGATGGCACAGAGCCTGCTTGGCATTCTCTCTCTCCCTCTCTCTCTGCCCCGCCCCTGCTCACTCACTCTGTCTCTCCCTCAAAATTAATAAACTTTAAAAAAATTTAAAAAGAAAATAGGACGCTAAGTGACAGAAGCCAGACACAGAAGGCCACACGTTACAGGATTCCATTTGTGTGAAATGTCCAAAATAGATTAATTCAGAGAGGAAACAGATCAGTGGTGGCCAGGGGCTAGAGGGACAGAGAAACGTAAGTGACTCCTTCTAATGGGTATGAGATTTTCTTCTGAGATGATGAAAATGTTCTGGAACTAGTCAGGGGCATGGTTGCACAACATTGTGAATGTACTAAATGCCATGAAATTGTGCACTTTAAAGCGATTAATTTCATGTTATGTAAATTTCACTTCCATTTTTTAAAAAACATTTAATAAAGAAAAAAAAACAGTACTATGTCCTACCTAATAAAAAGCCATAGATTAAAAAATAAAAAAGCAAGCAAAGGAAGGAAGCACACGTGTAAGAGGGGTGAGGGCCTGGACCACACCCCCTAGCCAGTCCCATGGAACAGGCACTTGCCTGTAGCCTGGGGAGGGGGAAAGAGACAGCCATGCAAAAATGGTGAGATGAGGGGCGCCCGGTGGCTCAGACGGTTAAGCGTCCAACGTTGGCTCAGGTCATGAGCTCACAATTTGTGGGTTCCAGCCCCGTGTCAGGCTCTGTGCTGACAGCTCGGAGCCTGGAACCTGCTTTGGATTCTGTGTCTCCCTCTCTCTCTGCCCCTCCCCTGCTCGTGCTCTGTCTCTCTCTCTCTCTCTCTCTCTCTCTCTCTCTCTCAAAAATAAACAAACATTTAAAAAAATGGTGAGATGAACCTGGGTTGCTCACAGAGGTCTGAACTAGTATCTCCCACAAAAGAAGAAAGCCCCAAGCCACCTTGTTCAGTGCCAACCTGGAGAAACTGCAAAAACACATGAAAAAGTGAAGCAAGCACAGGTAAAAACCTGTTATGTGAGATGAACTTTAAAAACAAATAAATCACAAAGAGAAAAACCCACTACCATGAAAGATGGTCACTTACACACACAAAAAAGAGGAAAATCCTGGCTTGAGAAAAGAATAAATATGGAGAAATCTGAAAAGGGCTTTAAATATGTTTGAATTCTTCAGTGTGATAAAGGAGGTAAAAGTATATCCTGGCAACAAGAACAGGACAGAATTAAACAAGAATAGGGACAGATGAGCGGGTTCAAGCCCCTCGTCAGGCTCTGCACGACAGCTCAGAGTCTGCTTAGGATTCTCTGTCTCCCTCTCTCTCTGCCCCCTCCCCCACTTGTACTTCTCCGTCTCTCTCAAAAACAAAATAAACTTTATAAAAAAAAAAAAAGAATAGGGACATATGAAAAAGAAGAATTGTGGAAGTTAAAAATGCATTTGTTGAAATAAAAACCCAGATGGACTCCTGTAATCGTGCCCACACACACCCCAGAATACATCAACCCAGAAAAAGTATGTCAGAGAGTCATCAGTGTCTGAGCAGAAAATCTTCTCATACAAAAGTGCTTTCCTGGTTTTCTCTCACCTCAATGACTTCCCCTATTAGAGAAAGTGTTTTTTCCCATTTGTGAACAGTTTGCAGAAAAGGCCCCACAAATCTGCTTCCTGAGATGCTTTGGAGGTTGACCATGTTGTCGTCAAGGCACTGGATGATTTCGTCCACCGATCCCAAGATGTAGCCTCGCTCCTGTGTGCCTTTGTAATACTTGACCACGGTGAACTTCATGCTTTCCCACGTGTCCAAGATTTCCTTCACAGCCTGGTCAGGAATACGAAAAGAGTGGTTCGGGCACATACGTTGGAAAAACAGAACTCCAAACCCCACAGCAACTTCCTGAGCTTGCCTTTGGTCAACTGCTCAAGCCAGAGTCTGTGTCAGTTTCCCAGGTAAGTGGAGAGCCTGTCACGGTGACCCTGGTCATTACTTACCAAGCACTTGCATATGTGATCACCTTCGGTGCTCAGAGCACCCTAGTGAAGTAAGGGCTATTACCCACGTTTTAGAGCGATGGGAACTGGGTGCTCAAAGAGCAGCTCGGCCAGTTCATTTGGCTCTAGAACCAGGGTCTAAGTCTCCTAGTCTGCCTCTTGCATACCTGGGAGGTCCTGCTCCCATGTTTACTGTTAAGCAAGAAAATCAAATTACAGAGTAATATGCCTATTTATGATTATATTTTCAAAAACCAGCTGCATCGCTATTTACATGTATGTGTGTATGATGTGTATGTGCACACGTATATGTGGTGTCGTGTACCTATGTCTATGTGGTATGTGCATTTATGTACACGTGCATGCATGTGCATGTACGTATATGGGTATATACACTATGTGCAGGTACGTTGACACGTTTGTGTGACTATTTGTATAGTGTGCACATGTGTGTATATGCATGTGGATGCATGTGTCTCCCCTGCGTTTTTACATGTACGCTGAAATAATTATCTTCAGGCGGCAGAATTGTGATTTATTTTGTCAGTTTTGTACCATCAACATCCATTCTTTCTTTAATAAATACATTGGAGGTGAAATGATAAGTTAGAACAACAAAAATTTAACCAAGGCAGAAGTCCTATTTCTTAAGCAAATAATTCTTGTTTTCACTTTTTTTATTACTTTGTTATTTTTGAGAAAGAAAGAGTACTAGCAGGAGAGAGGGGCAGTGAGAGAGAATCCCAAGCAGGCTCCACACTCAGCATAGAGCTCGACTTGGGGTTCAATCTTAGGACTGTGAGATCATGACATGAGCTGAAATTAAGAGACAAGAGGTACCTGGATGGCTCAATCGGTTAGGCATCCGACTTCAGCTCAGGTCATGATCCCGCAGTTTGTGGGTTCAAGCCCTGCATCAGGCTCTGTGCTGATAGCTCAGAGCCCGGAGTCTGCTTCAGATTCTGTGTCTCCCTGTCTCTCTGGTCCTCTTCTGTTTGTGCTCGCTCTCTCTCTCTCTCTCTCTCCAAAATAAATAAATGTAAGAGAGAGAGAGAGAGAGAGAGAGCGCCAGATGCTTAACTGACTAAGCCACCCAGACTCCCCTAGAGCAAATAATTCTTTATTACTCAAATACGAGTACTAGAACAAACACATTTTCTCTTGGCATTAAAAAAAAAATTCTCTGAAACTAATAACACTGTATGTTAACTATACTGGAATTCGAATAAATTAAGATAAAAACAGTTTTCTAAGCTGTTTTATAACAGCCTTACTTTCTCAATGGCGATCTCCTTGATGGCAGCCGTTACGATCTCACTGAGAACATCTGTGTGTTTGTGAAGTTCCATGGCAAACATGTTCTCCAAGGTGAACGTCTCTGTCATTTCAAACGTTACGCCTGTTTTTTCCATAAGTTCTTTCCAATGCCTGAAAGCATCCGCATTAAAACCTTTGTGCTTCCTGGATTCAGTGATGGATTTCATTATTCCCACTTAAATCACAGGACAAACCCCATTAATTGAGGACATCATTGGAATTGCATCTCCAAAGTTTTCCAAAATCCCCCTGGCTTCCAGAATCGAACCCAGGAAACAACCTCTATCAAGAAACACTCTTGCATGGCTAGTCTTCCCAACCATCTAAGAAAACAGGCAGCTTTTAACTTTTTCGAACCTGCTTCCGTCACAGAGTCTATAGACTAGTGATCTGGACCTCTGTCGGCTCACTCAGCCTGTTTGAGACCCTGGTGAAAGCTGTGAGCTGCCGTGCATTTGGTCAGTTTTTATCTCACTCTTAGATCTGCGCCAGGCAGTGAGTGGGCTAGCTGTCAGAGGTGCCCGTGACAAAGGGCAAGGCTCCTGCCCACGGGAACGCTACCACGTCCTCGGGGACACGGCCAGCACACGCTAACACAAATCTGTGCATTAAATAATCACAAATTGCTTTGAGAGCTATGCGAAAAACCACCAAGTGATGGAGACAGTAAGAAGGGATCCCCGATAGGCAGGAGGATCTGTGCACGCGGAAGCATTGAGCACAAAGTGCTCCACCCGATCTGGTCTTCCTTTAAGGTTTGCATTTGGCCTGTGGATTTGCCTTTTTTTTTTTTTTAATTTTTTTAATGTTTGTTTATTTCTGAGACTGAGGGAGAGCATGAGTCAGGGAGGGGCAGAGAGAGAGGGAGACACAGAATCCGAAGCAGGCTCCAGGCTCCGAGCTGTCAGCACAGAGCCCGATGCGGGGCTCGAACTCACGGACGGTGAGATCATGACCTGAGCCGAAGTCGGACGCTTAACCGATTGAGCCACCCAGGAGGCCCTAAATGTTTTTTATTTTTATAATTACTTTCTATTCATGGCAAAAGCTTTTGGTTTCCCATTTATAATGGTGGTGTAACTTTCTTCTTAGAACACACTCGAGTAAAAAAAAATAAGCTGATGGGAAACAAACAGAGTAGTGACAGTATACATGATATTGGCAGAGATGGGACAAAAATGGTTAAGAAATGATCTAAGTCTAGGAAGTACTGGGTTGTGGCGTCAAAAGAACAGGGAACTTTAGCTAGAAAATACTTCTTCTATCTAGTTGGGAAAACTGAGGAATGCATAGATCAAAGGGAGCACCCAAGTGGCCCTGTAGAACAGTGACAAAGACGGGCTTAGAACCCATGTCACCCCGGGCCTGAGGGCCACCTGCACCTGCTGAAGGGAGATCCACGGGTGTAGAGAGATGTCAGAGACACACCTGGCACCGAAGAGAGGCTTACTCACTGGCGTCATCACGAGGATTGGAAGGGAATTGTCTGGCATGGCTTTCTTGCTGAGCAGAATGACGCCATTGGATGCCATTCCGTGACTCTCTACCCACGTGCTGGGAAACACGATGGAGGAAGAGAGGATCACGGCAGAGAAAACGTGACTCACAAAGCTCCTACTAATCCCTGTCCGCGTGGGGCCACGTCTGGACCATCACGGACAAATGAGGAGGGAATCTCCTCCATCGCACCCTCAGGACTGGTTATTCCGTTGAAAAACCAGCGACACCTGCTCTGTCCAGTATGGCAGCCACAAGTCACGTGTCGCTATTGAGCATCTGAGCTGTGGGGGGTCCAAACTGAAAGGTTCTGTAGGCATAAAATACATGCCATATTGCAACATATTTTTTGGAGAAGAGCATAAAATATCTTGTGAGTAATGTTTCATATTGATTACAGGTTGAAATGATAATGCTTTGTATATACTGGGCTAGTTAAAATATATTACTAAAATTATTTTTACCTGTTTTCTTTTACTTCTTTGGTGCAGCTGCTGGAAAAATTTTAAATGACATGTCTGGGTCACGTGTTTCTGCTGGATGGCGCTGATCTAGACCCCTTGCTATTTTTTCTAAACTGTTAGAATGAGGCATCCACGAACGCGAGTTTATATCTGGAAGTGTTTGTTTTAAAAAAATAAAATAAAATAGGAGAGGGGCACCTGGGTGGCTCAGTCTGTCGAGTGTCCGTCCCTTGACTTCAGCTCGGGTCATGATCTCATGGTTCGTGGGTTCAAGAGCCACATCAGGCTCTGTCTGAGCTGACAGTGCAGAGCCTGCTTGGGATTCTCTCTCTCCCCCTCACTCTCTGCCTCTCCCACACTGGCGTGCGCGTGCACGTTCTAAATAAATAAATAAATAAATAAATAAATAAATAAATAAATAAATGAAATAAACTGTAAAAAAAGATTTAAAAAAACAAGTTTAAAAAATTGGAGAATCCTTACAGCTGATAATTGAATAGAAACTTCACATGGAAACAATACCATAAAAATCTTACCTGCATATTTCAGCGTTCTGCATTGCTGTTGAAACCTTGTACTTTGTCATCAGACCTAAGCAAGGATAGATTTTAAACTAAAACTCCTCCCCCTTCCACAACGGCCAACAGGACAAAACAAACCTGTCTCTTAGCGCTTCGTGCTTCAAGTCAAGTAGTAAAGGAACGGAGTCTTTGAAATCCTTCATTTTCGCTTCCAAATGATAGGCCACGGATAGGTTTCGGACCTGCCGGGGGAGCCTTCTGAGGGACCTGAGAAAACTGTCAATTCCCTCCTGGAGGAACTGAACATTCAGGTTGATCCAGAGGGTCTGAGACCATTCTTCTTTTGCAACCTAGAAACGGACAAGAAATAGTCCCAGTAACAAAACTGCCTTTGACCGGAACGGCCGCTACTCAACACGTGGTCATGCTCCCTCCTTTTCAGATATCATCACCCATCTGGCCACAAAAACCTCAGACTCACAAAGGAATGATTGGTTAAAGGCTCCAAAATACAAACAAAAGAATTCCAACTTTGTCAAGGCCCCGCCAAAATAATGCTGTCTCTAAGGATGTGTGGAATCCAAAAATAGGTCTTCCTTTCCAAGGGAGGAGAAGGAGAAGTATAAAATCAGAAACAGGCATCTCTGAAATCACGGAGCTGCTGACCTCAAAGCAAGTATTTCACTCAGGTGTGATGCTAACGTGCTTCTCTTTCCCGAAAAAAGCAGCTAAGGTTACAAAACGCTTATAATTTAGATAATCCTTCCTGACTATCACACCCAAAAGATTTTCCATGATGTATTTTCCTGAGATTTAACAGAAGAAGTGCTGTCTTGCGTGAAATTTACCATCTCGAATCATTTGCATTTGCAACCGGTGACATCCAGGCTTGACGGATTTGCTTCGAGTCACAAAATGTATTTCACAGAAAACTGTGTTAATTGATGAAATATACACGTGGTAATTTCTTTTGACTTAGGTATAAAGGACCTGAAGATGCATTTACTATTTTTCACCTCTTGGTCTTCTAAAAAGATCTTAAAAGCTCAAACAGCTTTCTGGATTATTTATTTAAGTTTATTTATTTATTGTGAGAGAGCGAGAGAACAAGCAGGGGAGGGGCAGAGAGAGAGAGGGAAAGAAAGAATCCCCAGCAGGCTCAGAGCTATCAGCACAGAGCCTGATGCGGGGCTTGAACTCACAAACTGTGAGATCACGACCTGAGCCAAGATCAAAAGAGGTGGATGCTTAATTGACTGAGCCACCCAGGTGCCCCACTTTCTGAATTATTTTGAGATGACACCCACAAATGTATTACCTCTTTTTTGCAAAAATTCAGTAAGTGATAAATTAGAAAGAAATCATAAGGAAACCAAAGTACTTCTTGGAGTTTCTATGCCTGAACCTACAGCCTGGCAATCATTACAAGGCCTTTTTCCCTCCACTCTTTCTCGTCCCTTCTTTCACCAAGTACATTTGGAAAACCACAACTGTGGTTAAATCCGCTCCTCTACACCCAACGTTCCTCAGTGCTCAACACCTACACCAGGGCAACCAACCATGATGGCTGAGGACACTCAGCCTCTCTGTCTAAATCCAGGGCCCTGATGCGGCTTTCCCTTGGGGCCTATTCTTCCACACCACCACCTCACCCCTGCCTTGTTAGCCTCAACCAGCCACCCCCCTGCCCTCATCTCTGCTGATGATCTTGCTGTGCACGTCCCCAGGGAAACCGACACAATCATAACCGAACGCTCAACATCTCCCACGAGAAGCATCTCTATGCACACGCTCTGCCTTCCCCGTATGACCACACCCGCCTCCTACCTGAGGCCACGTCCCAACCCCGCCCTTTCCCACCAACTCATGGACACCAGACACCATTCGAGGAAGTCTCCCTTCTGTCTCCTCTCACCCACGTTTCCTCCTTACTGGATCACTATGCAAACCCCCCCTCTAATTTCTCCCGTCTTAAAAAAAACTACCCTTGGGGCGCCTGGGTGGCGCAGTCGGTTAAGCGTCCGGCTTCAGCCAGGTCACGATCTCGCGGTCTGTGAGTTCGAGCCCCGCGTCCGGCTCTGGGCTGATGGCTCGGAGCCTGGAGCCTGTTTCCGATTCTATGTCTCCCTCTCTCTCTACCCCTCCCCCGTTCATGCTCTGTCTCTCTCTGTCCCAAAAATAAATAAACGTTGAAAAAAAAAATTAAAAAAAAAAAAAACAACTACCCTGACCCCACCTCCCTTCCACACACAGCTCCTCAGTTCTCTGCTTCCCTTTGCAACAAAACACATTGGAAAAGCTGTCCAGATCCGGGGTTTCTGACTCCTCTCTTCCCATTCTCTCTTCCTCAAGCTTTGTTGAGGATCGGCTGGCGTGCGGACACAGCTGGATGTGTCCAGGTGCACAATGTCGCAAACTCTGGCCTGTGCGCACACGCACGGGACCGTCACCACAGTCGAGACCGTGAACTCCTTCGTAGCTCTCGGAGGTCTCCTCCCGCCTCTCTGTAACCCCCCCTCCCATCCCCGGGCAAATGCTGCCCTGCTTTCTGCCGTGATAACTTCGTTGGCCCGTTCTAGAATTTTAGGTAAATGGAATCATCCAGGATGTACGATCTTCTGTCTCAGCAAGAAGATTTTGAGACCCGTCCATGTTGTCGCCCCGGTGCATCAGCAGTCCAATCCTTTCTGCTACTGAGTAGCATTCCACGCGATGGATGTACCAGTTTCTTTAGCCATCCACCTGGGGGGTATTGGGTTTTTTCTGGTCCTGGGCTATTGCAAATAAAGCTGCCGTGGACATTCATGTAAACGTCTTTGCGGGGACCTGTGCTTCCTTTTCTTGTGGGCAAATCCCTCGGACTCACTCTAATCAGGCGTCCACGACCACCGCTCCATCGAGACGTTTCTTTCCAAGGTCACAGTGGTTTCCATGACGTGAGACGCGGTGGTCACTGCTAATCGCCCTCCCACTTGATCAGATGCACGGCAGGTTGACAGTCCCGCCCCCTGAAATGCTTTTGTCACTCGGCTTCTGAGACATCACACTTGTCAGTCTGTCCCCCTATCCTACCTCCCAGGCCACTCCCTGTCCTCCCTCCCTTTTCGGGCATCTTCCCGTGGTATGTGATGCTGGAGTGCTCCAGGTTCGGCCCCTCTTCTTCTCCGTGTATCCCACTCCCGGGTGTACGGGGGCTGAAGCTTGCCCCCCCCCCCCCCC